AATTCGGCATTCCATAAACCTGATGACAGTACCAATTCATCATATAGTTCGCATCAGCAACAGCCATCGATTTACAATAGCTCTTCATCGTTTGCTGCGCCCGTTTCAACCGCACAACCACAGGTAGAGGGTTTTAATTCATTCAAGAACAACTATGAAACTCGTTTCATTTAATTTCAAACTATGAATGTAAATATTAAATAGGAACTAAACGAACGCTAGTTTCACGCATTGGAGAGCATCAAACTCTCGCGCTTAATCATATGTTTTGTATTCATTAAATAACAATATGAGTGACTAATATTTTTGACTATAATCTTTGGAACAGAATACAACTCAACCGAAAACTACAGTCCCATTAACGATTCAGTCTAGCTCACAAGCATATCCTTCGCAGGCAACGTCTAACTCGCTACCAATACATCCATCAACAATTTCAACCGATTCAATCTCATCAATTTTACCGTCGCCCTCACAGGTAAGTCCAAACATGTGTGTTTTAATCATTAAACGCATAATCCAAATTTAAATTATTGGTTTTTCCACAGCAATACGCATCTCAATCGAATGCATCAGCAACACAATCACTATATTCATTGCCAATCGCATCAGCTGTACAGCCATACCAACACTACTACACGCCGCCGCAGGCACCAGCATTTCCGAGCTCACTTTACCAAGCACCAAACCCATATACTCAACCATTTATTCCACCAACCCTACAGCCCTATGCTAGTAGCCAATACTGGGGATCTCCCACATCAACTCAACAACAACACCAGCAAGTGAGTATTTTTAACTATTTTTTTTACCAAATTCCAAAAACAATAAAACAAAATATTTGTTTAAATTTAGCAGGCACAATATCGCACGTATCCGACGTATCCACCACCGTCTTGGCATCCATAGGGTTTACTGTACCCGTTCTTCTAACCAAATTATCCACGGAATCAAAATAGCGACTTCGAGTTTAACACTTGATGTGTGCGGCTAAAATAACATTGTACACTAAAATTTAAACGAAAAAAAATGAAGAAAGTATTACGCAAAGATATATGTAAATGTTCTTCCAATTGGCACAAGGTGGGAAAAGACACATGCATGAACAATTATATCCATTATTCAGTTAAAAATTACCATTTATTTCACAAAATAATTATGTTGATATTTTTTTGTGAGGTGTGTTCGAATAGATTGAAACGTTCGAATGATTCAGTTCAAAATGTCTATCGTAAATTTCGAATCATAAAAAATCGTTTCTCATCCTTTATTTATTACATATCTCGAAAAGAGACAGCGTCTAACGGAAAGTTTACACTATAGTGATGACAAACGATTATTTTGATAAAATATGAGGGATTGACATCCGTTATAGAAAAGAAAACAAAAAAATATTAGTATTACGAAAGAAAAATTGATAAAAGGCAGCTCATGACTTTCATAAAGGACACAGAAGTTTGAATCAAACAATCGAATTCGTGTAAAACATGAATTGGAGTAAAAAGAAAATCTTATTAAGCTGAGACATAATAGTAGGGTTGTAATTGTATGGATAGGATATTCAATTAGCAAAGTTCCATAACATAGAAAAGTACTTTACTGCTTAGTGAAGAGTTGATTTTAGCACCGTTCTAATGTTCATTTTAACTTTGAAATTATCCTAAATAAAAATTTAATTAGTTCGACAAAGAAAATGATCGAGTCGCCGTTGACTATTCTATATCTGATTAATTATGTTCAAGAACTTTCTTGTAATGCTCTCCTCTGATAGTTTCCATATTTAATTGAATTAATTTCGTTTCGTTCTCCAATAATACATGTTGTGACAAAATGAAATTCGTCACGTTTTTTTTTTAATTTTCTAGAATGGGATTTAAAATGAAGAAAACACAGTGCAATTTTATCATTATCTAACGAATTTAGGTGAAAATTTTGTAGATTTTAACTTGTTTTCGTCGTATAAAATTTGTGCTATTGACAAGTTAATTTTCATGGACGATTCAATAGTCAAGTCCTGTAGATAGGATAATTTTTAACATTTAATTACAAGAAAAAAAAACAAAGAGAAATACGAAATTCCTCTACTGACTCTGACACATTGACACACTGCTCGTTCACGTAATTCACCGCTCTTGAATTTTTCCATCATTGAAGGAATGAAATTATATATTCATTTTTGAAATATCATTAGGATCAATTTTAGATTTTATGTTTATGGATGGAAATTTTGGCCAAAGGTAAGCAAACAACAACAACAAAAAATGAACTCATTTGTTGGTTTTTCTAGTGTATCAATAAAATACGTAGTATTTTAAGCATAAAAAGCATTGAATGTTGAGCTCAAAAGATGTGAGAGAAGAAGAAGAAGAAGAAGAAAAAAATGAATACATACCCAATCTATCTATTGGTGAACAGTTCATTTCGTGTCCTAAAAGATTACTCTTATGTACTATGAAAAACAAACAAGTGAGCAATCATATAGTTGAAATAATATAAATATGCTAATTTTATGATAACATACTCTAATTATATATGTGTCAAAAAAAAGAAATTAAAGCAAAATAAAAATTATCAATCTTATATCAATAATAAAACGTTCGCATTTTTCATTCTTCGAAGTTTACTAAACTGTTATGAAGGCATCGATCTTTTTCACCCCAGAATTGATTCCATCAATGAACACCAGGAGTAAAACACCTCTTTTTTAAATTTTTTTTTCATTTTATTTACCTTCACCTTTTTAATATTTGAAAGAAAAAAATTACAATTTACTACCATTTTACAATTTTATATTCTAATTCACATATGCATGGTTTTTTGAAGAAAGAATTAATGAAGTGCAAAAGATAGTTGAGAATTGTTATCTAAAAAAAATCGATCTAAACATAAATTCTTGTTCTATTCTGATTATATTCATCTAAAAACTGATGTGACGATGAATGGTACATATTCTGTAGTATCATCAAAATAATTAGAAAGCTACAACAATTTTGTGTATCTTTTATTCGATCAACTATTCCCGAAATTCAGCCATTATAATATTGATTGTATTTTTCCGGGGCATATGTACAATGTCTTTTAAATATTTTACATATGAACATGCGTATGGTTCCGAAGTATTGGAGAGAAAAAAAAATTCAAGATGATATTACCAGCATTTAGCATAAAAAAAATTGCAATTATTCGTGTCACATCACAATGTGTTTACTTCGAAGTGTAAATGTGAAGACTTAAGTCGTATTCGACTCTGATACAGTTAGTATGAATATTTGGATTCTTGAGCAAATTTTTGGGTTTTCCAAAAACCGTTTTTGCTACGAAAATGCCAGTTTTTCATATGAACAATTTTATATAATTTTTTTTAAATGCCATGCAAGTTGTTTGAACATATTCCAAATAGATTGTCAATAGGGACAATGCTATTGGAATAATTTTGGCCCTACTTACTTTCAAACTATTAAACTATTATTTAGAAGAACTATACAAAAAAAAATATTCTGATTCACTATTCTAAGCTCTTAAAAATGTATATTTATAAAAAAAAACAAATTCATTACAATGTTTTTGTTTTTTGAATCAATTAGTGACTAATTTATGCAAAACTTAGCCCTTATACGCTTATGGGACTTTAAAAGTTGTCTGACAGTTGTTGGGACAAAGATAGTTCGCATATGCTTGAACAATATCTGATTTGTGATTTAGCTACGATCTTCACTGTATTCTCTAGACGGAACTTTGGAACAACTATAATGCACTTTGTAGCTTTAGTCAATGCCTGTCAGACTGCCATAGCGTTTATGTAAGCGTATAAGCAAATCAATCCTTATCGGTACAATGATAAGGACGGCTTTGCATCGATATTGCTATTGAATATATTTCTTTCTTTTTTTTTAACATCTGATCGCTCAGAAAAAAAGTACCATTAATTAAAGCTATTTTCAATGATTACAATTAAATGCCTGTATACGCATTGACGGCTCAATAACACTCAAATAGATTTTAATCAGCCAAACCGAAACAATTTTTAAGCGGATGGTAAATTTGTATATTTCAAAAATAGCTTTTGGTATTAAAAAAAATGGCATTCACTAAAAAGAAGTCAGTAGCGAACGTTTTTTTTTGGCAATTTCTAACACATACACACACATTCACACACTACAATATTCTATTGATTGAATAGTACATTTTTTACATTTCTTGTTGATTTTTTTTCTCCTAAGACAGACAATTCTCTTCATGGCGCGTTCATTAGTGCAGTGAAAACTGGTTTGGCGTCTACTTTTCCATTATCTTAAGTATTAAACTGAATGTGGCTAGCTCCAACATTTTTTTGTTTACCTTTTACTTTCAAATGTTTGGTACAATAACTTACAACGTTCATCATCATCATAAAATTGGCAGCGAAGTAATAATAAATAATTAACTGATAAAAAATTTAATACATTTAATAAAATTGGTCAAGTTGGTTTGGGAGCCCCCTCCCAAATTTAAGTAAAAAAAAAGTAAAGAAAGAAAGATTGAACGTTCAACAATGTTTCCTGTTGTGAATGAACATTAAAGAAAACCGACTGTGGAAAGCGCAAAAAGACAGCATCGAAACTTAAAAGAAAGGAAGTACAATTTTCAAGATCTTCTAAGATTTGTCTTAATGTTTTAAGTCACTTCTTTTGAATCAGATGCAAACGTTCAGTCCCATTCCCCGATGTACATAGCTCTCTGCTGAGGAATATACCCGCGCGTTGGTAACGGTAACCGCCCGTAGATATGATTGTATGGTGATTCGATCATGTCAGAATCTACAGATGAAAAAAAAATTGGAGAACAATTTTATTTTTATTTTTTTCAAAAATATTCGGCATGTGTGGGTGTGGCGGAATGCTAATAAATATAAATACAAAGAAAAAAATTACCAATTCCGCTTTCAAAACTTCTAGTATGTAACATCATATGGTGTGGATATTGTGCTGAGTGCGCATGATGACTACCATACAAGTGTTGAGGATGCATCTGATGCAGTTGGTGCAGTGACGCCAATGATGCGGCTGGGTGTTGTAAATTAGATACGGATATTCTCTTCATTGGTGACAAATTATCTTTAGCCTTGTTTTTCGATGATTTTACCACGAAATTTGGTACACGCGCCCGTAAACCACAGTAGTAGGGATCATCTGAAATCAAAACATTGCACTTAATATGATTGAGGCAGATCAAATCGACAAAAAAAATCCCGATAATGCTTGCAGCTAACGAATGAAAAGTAAAAGTGCGGAAACGAAACAAATCTATCATTTTATGGCGAATAATGGTAATTTTCATTTGAACATTTTTCGTTTGTGTTCATGACTGCAGCGACCGTAGACAATTCGAACGATTTCGGTTTTATTTCTGTTGCTCAACACCATTCGCAAAAGAGAATGAAAGTATCAACCTAATTAATGCTATGTGTATTTAATGATGTGAAAAATCGATTGCAATAAGAATTGCCTATATTAATTCTTGGGTGCACATATCAGTCAAGACTTTTATGCCACACAATCGACTATATTTAATAAATGAAGAATTTTCTACAAAATTTTCTCCAACTATATATTTCACCTCTCCTCGAAGTCAATGACGCTTTAAAAGAATTCTTTGAGTAATACCCGAAAATAATGCGGTATTGCGCAAATTTAAACTATCACAGCTCAAGACTTAGTACAAGCAGTGTTACCAAGTAGAGCGTTAGTGTGATTGTCGGTTGTCATTCGTTTTATTGCATTTTATTCGAATGAGAAAAATGTATCAGTATAGGTGGTAATGGAACCGAACAGCATATAAAAAATGCTTTCTAAATTGTATAATAAACAATATAAGCTATCACATAAAATACACAATATTCATTATGTGGGTATGGGCAGGCAGTAAGCCATTAAATGATAAAACCAGCGCAAGTTAGCTGTAACAAACTTTAGTCACTTTATTTCAATAATTCGCTCTGCAATGGCCATGCATGCAGGCACACTTCAGTGTTTGTGCTCTATCCATGTGATCGCTTTGGATTCGCTTTCGCTCGACTCACCAAGCGGTAATCAACGTAATATCGATTTACATACACTGTTCATTTTGAACACGGTTATTTTTAGTTGTCTTTTTATTTGGATCATATTTTCGTTACATGTTAAGAATAAATTTCAATTTACCATTACTTTTTTCACCATTGTTATTACCGCTGATAGTTTTTGTCTCTGTTCCTCTTTAGTTTTGTGGGTAGAAAATACGAGAATGCTTGATGATGTTGAATCATTGAGCAGTGCAATCGAGACATATATTTATTTGAGTTTGTGGCCATTTCGCGACCATTGCCTTCATTCTGTTATCATTTGCGTTTTGTATGTGTACTCTCTAGGATAGGAATGCTAGCTTAGTATATCTATTTAGCTATTTAGCCATTTCAATTCCATAGAAATATTGCTTGAAGATGTTTCAGAATTGTATCGTCATTTATTTTCGTTTATAGTAATAATTTTCGACTCATAGCATGCTTACGCATAATATTTTATTACAGTCAGAACTGAACTCGTGAGAATATTTGTCGAACTTCATCACTTTGCATAAAAAAATATGCACTTTGCCGAAGAAGAATTTTGCAATCAGTACATCAACATTCCCATATCCAAATATTACACTTTGAATTCTGGGACTTGGATTTTTTAAGCCGTGATCACAACAACAATTTATTCCTCTTATATGGAGTATTTCAATGTGAAACAGTTGAGTCCAACGAATATTCTCAGCGACTCAATGCAATAGCTTAAATTTGCATGGAAATTAAAATTGTTGCGGATCCAATTTAATCGTCCGTAACCTAGGAGAGGATCTCCAGTAAAACAAAACAAAAAAAATACAGATTTTTCACCTCAATATTAATTGAAAAATGTATCATTGCTCATTATCAGCACATTGGCATGGTGCTTATGTGAAAACAGGTGTTTCATTCAACGAATGTTCACTAAATCACCTGACAATAGATCAAACGTTGCATCGTGCAAATTTTTCATTTACAATACACAAAGAGAAAGCGCACCAAGTTTCAGTTTTATGAAAATCTCATTTCAATGCATTTGGCTCGCATACAAACGGCGTCGACGATAAGTGAACTATCTGCTTCGATTACTATGCGATTTACATTGCACAGACGTTTGAATCATCGATCCACATACGAGAACCATGCACGCACATTCACATACATCGTAGTTCAACAACAGCAACAGCAACAGCAACAGCAACAGCAACAGCAAACAACAAACAAGAGAAAAAGAGAGAATAATTGACTCGAAAATGAAATAAACTTAAAATAAAACAATATTTATCTTGCACTATTTTCTTTCTAATGCACTATGCTACACTGAATGCACTGTACTGTACATGCTCCAATAGTGACGCATAGAATAGCTTTCAATTTTCTATAGCGATCGAATGCAATGCAATTCAATGCAGCAACTCTACTTTGCTTTCTCCCATTTTACGTTCGATCCATAGTTTATGTACGTTTATTTAATTGCTTTCGCAATGTTTTACTTCTTCAATTTCCAAGCATATGTTTTTTGAGCGCTATGTATCTTTCAGTACATTTTTACTGCAACAGAGCATGATTTTAGGGGGAAAAAATAGTCCATACCATATTTTTTGTTTAGATCTCGCCCTTTGTCTGATTTAACACGGAATGCTTTCAATCGATCATCTTCGTTGATGTCATCATAGTCAGGCTTTGGAATATCATGTGGATGATAAATATTATCGCGTGGCGGCAGTTTCGGTGGTTTCTCACTACGACGTGACGCTAGTTTTTGTGTTTGTAATAATAATTGTTCGCGGGTGGCTGCTACATGACCTGAAATAATCGAATGTTAACAAATGTTTCATCGATGGCCAACAGAGGCACTTGTGCTACAATGTGTCCGCTGACCGGCGTATCAATTAAATTATGGAGAGAAAAATTTGTGCATACGAACCTGGAGCGCTATTACTATTGCCAAAACCAGAACTACCCGAACTACCACTACCCCCACCATTACCTGCTATGCTGTAAGGGTCTTCATCTGGAATTGGAATCCTTGGCCGATTCTTTATATCGAGTGGTCGATGCACTGTAGATTTTAGTTGAATAAATTTGAAAAAAAGAACATCGAGTTAAAGCAAAAGTGATGCAACGGTGTAAACCAAGTAAAGTACAGATCTGTACAATATGCTACAAATCATCTAACAGATGTTTTCATTTGATGGGAATATTCCTCTTGAATTGTTCAAAAAACGTTACTTTCGGCTGAATTGTTCACAGTAATACAGAAGGAATTCTCACCTGGCGGTAGTTTACTCTTCAGCATATCCATTGCTACTACATTTACTATAAGCACCCATATTGGGCAATCCAAAATGTCATTTTCAGCTTTAACGAATGCAACTAGCGAAAGGCACTGCGTTTCTAATCGCCTACGATCTGGATATGCCCTCCTCAATTCACGGTTCACATTTGATTGAAACTTTTTCATATCAAATAACTGTAAAAATCAGCAACATATTTAGGATGAGTACATTTATCATTGGTAATCATGAAAATTGACCACTCTGTCTCACCTTAACAATTTTTTCACTCTCTAATGCAGAATTTGGTTGTTTCAAGATTTCTGCTCCGATGGCCGTCTCATCATTAGCATTTGCTGCTGTACTTTTGACATAAACGTTGCTTTTGGCATAACGTCGAATTAAAATATTACCAGCGTCATCCATCTTGATTTTAACACCCTGAAATTATTGATTTCAATTTAGATTTTAATTTTTGTTGCTAACATTCCAAATTCAAAATAGTCCAAATCTAAATATTTTACACATGTGTATCTATGCTATCCAGTGATCCTATTATCAAGCTTGGCAACGCTGTGCTTTATAACTGAACTAAACCGAAATACTCTGAATGCATCAACGCATTAAATTGATCAAATACGCACCCGAACAGTTATAAATCTACACGAAATCTTATACTTTATGGTAACAAAAATCTACATCGCAATTACGTTAGACTTGGGAACACTAAAAATAGACTCTGTCAATTCTACGAGATTCATTTTGCTTTGATATATTGAACAGAAAAATTCATTCTATTTGTTGCCTAAATCGTTATTATAAGGCCGTTATCACAATAGATATGAAATGAAGTGATCCATTAGTTCACAAAAGCAGCAATTATTGGTGAGACTTATTTGATTGTTGTTCAGCGATTGCTTTCGCCTCTGTATCTTTTATATCGGAAGAGAAAGTAGGCGCAGAATCACTTTGGATTCACTTCCGACTCGAATGCAACTCGAAACTCAACTATCATTCAATATTTTTATTGATTCCACAGAACTTTTTTATTGTTGTTTTGTCACACAGCGGTAGTAGCAACCTGCTGTTCATCATAATCATTCGGCGAATCGACATGAAAACGAATTCAATGTGATGCCTAATTAAATAATTATTTGTACGTACATCGTACACAATAAGGAGCGCTTGTCTGCGATAACCGCGTACGGCTTAAGCAATCTTTCATCGAGCATCGATATTTGTATCGGTATCCATTTGTGTTTGAAAGTGAAACATGTTTTATTCCGACGTGTTTATTCATTTTTCACTTTCTAACCTGAATCGAGCGGATAAGCTGAAATTTTACTCTGGCTTTATGTTGCTGTGACGCCTCGATATTATTTTTCGTCATTTGCTTCCGTTGTTTGCCAATTAAATATGATAACGAAATAGAATGCAGCCTCTATCGCATACAATTTCTCTAGTTGAACACAAATACTCATTTTCTTTGCTAACCGTTTGGTGAGTACTTTCTCGCCGTGCGCAAACTTGCTTTCGAGATATGTGTAAGCAAGGCAAGGTAAGCGGAGACATGTGCAATGAAAAATGATTCGATTCACTTGCGCGTTCCGATGGCAATTTGAATGGCATATTTAACCAAGATAATAGCAATTAAAATCATTTCCTTCAGTGTTCATTGATGGCCATGTTTACATAGTAAATTTTTATTTGCCAACGAGGTGCAATAGTGAGTAGAATGAAGAAGAAAGGGGAAAAAAATTACGTGCATTTAGTTCCTCATTCTTTTAGCCGGCATCAACATTTGGTATATTATTGTTGGTTTCGTTTGTGATCAACAGGACATCGTTGGACCCGAGCGTTGCAAAAAGCAAAAGGAATGAAAAATTGCTAACATTTTTTTCGTGTATGTTGAACTGAAACCAAATTAAATGTTGAGATCGAATTGCATTCGCATTTGTTATGTATCGCAATGGCAATTATTTATTTTCGTTTACAATTTGTTAGTTTTCTTCTCTCTTTTTTTCATCTCAAACAAATACAAATGTTTGCTTATTCCTTATTCCAACACACAAACATATATGTATTGATCGCCACACACTATTTCCTTCATAATTCTTGAAATTCCAAAAAATTAGCTCCTAAAGGAATGTTTTAATGCGAATTGCATCGTTCGTAATTACGGCACCATTTATTTTGAGCACACAGGTGTTTTCACACAGTTTGTCTTCTCATCCAACCAAATGGCAATGGAAATTCACGAAAAATTACTGGAAATGACAGAATCTTGAAGAAATTTTTGCAAATTTTCTGGAGTCGCCAGGAGTTTGAGACAAAGAAACTGATGATGCTTGCTGTTTGTTTTGCATTTCGAAATATTAGTAATTTGTGAGCTTCTGATGTCTTTTATTATTGATTGAAAATGAATTTTTCGCCATTTCAGAACAAAATGAGACAATAGATAGATAATAAATTCGCATACAAAAATTCGTAGATCCATTGCAATGGTTCGTTTACATTGAATGGCCAAAATTTGTCCAGATTTGATGCACTAGTTTGCATTCCTCTTTCATAAGCGAAAGCATGTAATAGTATGGCAAAAGTAAAGGAAAAACGTCTTTTAAAACACCGATTTCATTCAAAATTTGGAAAACAGACTAAGATTAAGCCCAAGTTTGATTAACCACAGTATACAGCATTTTAAGTTTAATGGTGGTGGTATTTTGAATGTTTTATAATTCGCACATGAGCGCAAATACAACAGTAAAACCATTGAAGATGAAGTATAACCGAAGGAATGGTAATGATAAAATCTTTTCATTTGATAGAATTTCATCTAACGTGATGTGATGAAGAAAATGAATGAAAAAAGAGATAGCAGTGCAAAAAAATGCCCGAAACATAACAAAAATTGCTCGCTCTAATGCACACAACAGTCTCTCAATACACAGCATACATTAAGAGTTAAAGGAAATTGTTTGTTTGTCTCAGATGCTATGTTAGATCAGGTATGTATATACGCTAACTGTTGTCGATGAAATTTACATTCAAGCATTAAATGGCAGTACAAAAATGTGAAATTCGTTCACAACCTTGTAATTCGCTTCTTTTTTTTCGGAAGATATTTGAAAAAAAAAGAAGAGGAATATCGATTAAAATAAGATACAATTGCAGGCTGTATACCAGGCGGAATGGAAAACCGTATGACAAAAAAGAAGAGAAAATCGATAGTATGCTGTATCGGGAATTTGTTGTAGTGTATTTGTTATTGGAAAGCACATGGTTTCCCTAATCTATAGATAATGGTATGTGCAAAGTGATAAATGTGAGACATCCGAAGATTTTTCATTCAAGCCTACAGCAAAAACCCCGAACCGGCTGACAACAAACAATGGACCGAAGCCATGTGAAGAGTATTTTCTTTCTCCTTCTTGTTTTTTTTTCTTCTATAAAAATGTGTATGGATAAAGAAGTTCTCTATAGAAGAGGTTTTTCAACAGCCAAATATCCGATTGGTATTCTAATCTTTTGATCAGATTGTGGTTCACAAAACGCCGTTTGTTATCATCGATAAATGGCATGAGCTGCCCGACTATTGAATTTAAAGCAGAACAACAGCACATTCTCAACTAACACTATCGTATCAATCGAAATGTTTTTGTTAAACGTTCCGCTTAAATTTTTAACGATCTACGTTGAAATTGTGAATACATATTTTCGGAAAAGAACATTGTTGATAAAATTTGAAGAAGCCGTCGATTTAACATGGTGAGCAAAATAAAATACAATTAACAAACAAATAGCTTGGTACAATGAAAATGCAGATGCAGTCGTAAAATGATTACATCTTTAATCTATCAAGCAAATCGTAAGAGCCGCTTTGTGACAAAAAAGTAAATGTTTAAAAGCGGACGAATAAAAAAAATCTACTTGTTGATAATAACTTAAATAGCCATAGTGAACTCATTTCATGTGACGTAATATTGTATTAAAACTATAACTAAAATTAACGAGATAGCATTATCTGCCTAGATAACTATAAAATCGACTGAATTGAATTTTTCCAACATATTAGAAATGTTCAATTTACCTGTCCGACATGCCGCTTTAGTTCTTCCGTCTTTGGGTCTCTCATTGGATTATCGAAACCACTTAAACCGATTCTGCGAAAAGAAAGAAAAAATAATTAAAGTTTCAATTGCTTATATTAAAAATTTTCCGATAATTGTCTTGATTGAAACCATATCAGATTTTTGGTTTTATCTATTACAAACAACAATTGAATCTCTAATAATAATGGTCAGATTTTGTTATGCAATGAATTAATTCAATTGTTGACCTTCTAGCCTTGAAACGCGCAAAACTGTATCGGATCAGCATCCAATCACAACAAAAAAAATGAAGTAAGCTTAAGCTCTAGATTTAATAAAAACGTTGAATGAAAAACAACAACAATTACAGTTGATACGATCGTAACCACGATCTGATCGTATAAACGAACTTATATGCCCGTAATACTATGGCTACCTTTCACTTTCAATGAACTATACGAAATATGTGTTTTTTCATACATCTACTGAACTGAACTGAGTGGTGGAGTGTAATTTTTGCACACTTGAACATAAACGATAGCACGTTCCAAAGTAAATTATGCAATCTCCGTTCAAATTCTCTCTGGTTTGAAGAAAATAAAAGCAATTATACGTACAAATCTGCAATCTATCAGCAGATAATGTTTCATCAGTGAGCAAATGTTTACAATGAAAATTGTACCAACGTTAGTTCTACGTAGTTTGAAAGTGTTCAGGTTGTTTAGATGAGTTTCTAATTGAATTAAATACGAACTATTGGGAATTCTCATTTTTAAACTCCGTTTGCAGACCATTGGGAATGTTTCCAAAAGTGATAACAGCAACAATTTGATTCCATTTTTACGTGCAACACTTCAACGCTTCATTTCGGAAAAGTGTGAAATCTATTTTCAGAGAAGTTAATTCAAGAGAAAGAAGTAAAATCATACATCTACTTGTGTCTCTTATTTCCCGTGCGAGACTGTTTGTGCGGAACAATTGAATAAAATATAAGTTCAATGAATCCGTCACTAGATTGACTCACATTATTTTGAAATAAGTCGATGTGTGATAAATATTGTGGATCATCCAATTTGTAGCATAGGTGTAACGAATAAATAATAAGTAATAAAAGATTTTATTACTTATTCCTTTTATGTGATTATTCATTTATTCGTTATTCGTTCTTACTCGCGAATAAGAACGAATAATTATTCATTTATTCATGCAAGAAACGAATAAAAAATGTAATAAAAATTGAATAATATATGAAACGAATAAGAAGTGAATAAGAAACGAATAAGAAAACGAATGAAAATTGAAAAAGAAGTTGTAAGAAGTAATAACTATTACAACTTATTCACGAATAAATGAATAATTATTCGTTCTTATTCGCGAATAAGAACGAATAAATGAAAAAATATGACAAAAGTAATAAGTGAATAAAAAAACGAATAATTATTACAAAAATTAACACCTATGATTTGTAGCATAGAATATTGGCCAGTTTTCCTCCAAATTTGAAGTTCAAATATCATTTTTTTTCTCACAAATTTGGAATGAGCGTGTAAAAATCATTATCATCCGAATATATATACATATGAATGTATATTTTTAAGTAAGAGTGGAAGTCTTAAAGATTAAGTTATAATTTGGATGATTTATACTATTTTGGGATAAAATCCATTTTAATTTCGTATAATTTTTAAATCGTATCCAAATTATTCCATAAAAAGGAATTAAAATTAAAATTCAATTTGAATATGTCCATTTGTTTTTAATTATTGGTTGAGGAGAATGTATGCAAAACAATAAGTGTGTTTGTTTTGTCCAGAATAATCTTGAGAAACTGTTTGTAGTTGGAACATGTAAATCAATCGGCCAAGCAAACGTGGTGAGCGGTTTCTAATGAGAAATTAACTTATCGACATTGGAATTGATCTAGTCTCGTTCCGAAAATTGCCAGTTTGTCTAGATTAATTATGCAAATTATATTAAATGCACTGGAATGTAGAACAACGACAATAAACCACATTTTAAACGAGGGCGTTGTCATTGTGAAAGTAGAAAAAAAATGCTTCAATATGCGAGAGCTGTAACTTCATCCCATGAGGAGGAATGAAAAGGAAACCGCTTCATGAAAAGTGATGAGATATAAGATGTTTGGATTGGTTTACTCCTTTATTCACACAACACTCTGCATTGCATTTTTACAGTGTTTTTTTTTCGCTGTAGGACTACCTGGCTTATTATTTTTGCTTATGTAAGTTCTTTTTGTAGCATGCAATCATAAATTACATAAAAAAAACTTGTATATATGGTTTGAGTAAAGTGGACGACCTTGTGCTTTCTTGGCGCTGTTCAAAGACACATATATCGACCAAAATCATTTTCCTTTCAATTTTTAATTTCATTTTATCAACTCTTAATAGTTTATATACAGTGGAGTCTATTTAAATGTTTTGTATTTATCATCAATATATATCCAGCGCACCTTATACGTAAACATGGTTGGCTTTTCCGCGTCTCATATGAAAACTAGAATGAAATTTGTATCAACAAAGCGAGGTCATATCGCACTTGAATCCAAGGCAGAAAATTTTAAGATTCTAATATAACACACACACATTGGGATGAATTATCCATATTCGAACAAAAAGAGTTAAAATATGAATGGGTAAGTTTGCAACGGTAGGTTTAACAATGAGCTCATTATGGCTCGAAAAGGGAACGCGTAGTGCTTGAAATAAAGAATGACCGGATGAAATGCGTAACTTTGATATACGTACAGAAAAAAATACGCTACATGCGTTCTTTAGATCGTTTTAATGTGCAAGCGATGCCGAATGATATGATGCGTATACATTTGTTGGGCTTTGCTTTCGATATTGGGGCCAATTCGAGCTCATAAGCAAACAAACGAAATGTTAGACGCTGCTATACCGACAGCTCTATTGCTTCAACACACTTGCGTTGTGTGAGGTGTATATTGTTTCTGGCACACAAAAAAACCTTTTCAACGGAATGAATACCGTAAACAGTGAAGGCGTCAAGAATGTAACTACTTTCGATTTCAAAAGATTCATCGCAAAAAAAGAAGAACAAAGTATACACAGAAAGCCGATCCGATTGGCATTCGCGCTGTGCACATTTGGAAACTTAAGACTGTTTTAAGTATTTGTGTAGAAAAAAAAAGGCCTCGTTCGATGATTACATGTAGATTTCACAAACACCCAACTATTTGCTATGACTCGCTTCAAACATCATTTACGTTAAAATGAACATATCTTTAGTTGAGTAATGAACAAGGTAATGAATATCCGACAACATTTAACAAAAATCTAAACTATCATTTTTTTTCTTCAAATTATACTTGATTACGAATCAGTCGCAAATGCAACTCAAATCACATGGAATCCTTGCAGAAAAACGTGTTCATTACGGGAATAACGCATAATTTTTCCGTCACTATGTTTAAAGTTGATTTAGCGTTGTTTCAAGATTCAAATGTTTAATGAAGCTTAAAATAAAGTCGACTGAATCCATAGAATATATATGTATTCATTTTTTAAACCCACAATCGAACATTTTTTGTGATGAGGTACTTCAAAATTCTTCAAATATCAACACATTTATTTTGCTATTGAGCCCTTTGATAAGGTTATGTCCGCCGTTTACTTATCCAACATGCAAATAACTTTGTTTCGTTGAATTTAATTTCTTTGAATCGAAATTGAATTTGATTTTACTTCTTCTGATGCAGGGAAAAAAAACGAAAATTATACCGTAAACATTTTGTTTTCTTCTTTGAATAGACTTGGTTCATTTGACTGGACACGATGCAAAATTGATACATATTTTGAGCGCACGGTATTTCTGTACAGTACACACAAGTACTACTATATTAGTAATAGTTTTGTCACAAAAAGAAAGATGAAAGAGAAAACAATCACGATGAAAATGTTCGCAATTAAATGAACCGCCAGTTGAACTGCCGCATTTCTCAATTAAATAAATGTCGGTGGAAATGCCATGAAAACACAAACAATTCAAATTAAATATATTTACCAAACAATGTGGTAATTAATAATATTCACGACGAGAGTGTAAAAAGCGGTTCATATTTTATTTTCGGTTGGTTGGTGTGTGTTCGTGTGCTTTTTTATGCAACGTTTAGTGGAACAAATGTTAAAAAGTTTACGTGAGGTCTAAATTGTCTTTTTCCTCTATGCCATTATGTAATGAAGTACTGCGTTCGAGTTATATGTGAGTCAAAGTGACGCGATTCGATTAATAGTTCCCGAAAAAAGCATTAGCAAATTGCACGGTTCAAGCAGCTGTGAAAATAGAAAATCAACGCGCTACTGCATGAGAAACGACAACAAGCAACTACACACATTCAAATGAAGAAGAAGAGAAAAAAACACAATCCACATGCAAATAACAAACCAACAAATGTAAATAGCGCGCACGATTTTTTCGAGTCTTTTCATTTAAGCTTTTAAAAAAAGCATCTAAAACGTTTGTTTAACAGCTGATTACTTACGTGTGTTGATCTTAAATTACTATTTGGAGCAAACTCTACGACCATACTTCAGTTAATGTAAACATCAATCGACACAACCAAAATGGATGGAGAAAAAAAATCGATGCGGAATCAGTTTTTACTGCGATTTAATTCATTTGAATGTGTGGTCATTTCGTGTTTTTATGAATGTGATTTCGAAGTATACATAGATAAATTCTTTAATCGCCCGTTTCATATAGTCATTCGAGCTTCGCTCCAGATTAATCTACTTTTTTTTGCAACCAACTCCATTTTCCCGCTTAATTGCAATTAAACGACAAATCGTATGTGGTCAGTTTTTATTTCGATTAGGAGGAGAATGGCGCAGCGCGTGAAAACTCTCAACTCCGTTAGAAAAACCAATCTATTTTTATTCAAATTTCAGTTGGATTGAGCACGTGCTGTGCATTCCCCTATCTACGTCAATTGACTATTGTTCAATCTATACGTTGTGTGTTTGTGTTTTTTTTTTATAAGAAAAGAGTTTTTGTTTCTGTTTTTTTTTGCCCACTTATGACTATTATTA